TGGGAGTCGCACACATAGAACTATGGGTGTGGGCATGCCCGCGCATGACCCCCCTGCGCTCCCCACACTATTGGCACACGATGGCAAAAAGGTTTAGCCATCACTTCTCTAGAAGTTGTGAATGCTTCAGCACTGGAGGTTTTTAAGAAGAGATTGGACAGCCATTTATCTGAAATGCTATAGGGCTTCCAACTTGAGGAGGGTGTTGAACTATTAAAAGACCTCCAAGGTCCCTTCCAACTCCTCTATTCTGTTAAAAGCAGGAGTAGACAAACAGGCAAATATTTCTATATGCAGGACTATTTGTATTGGGCCACTGGGGGGCAGACTTAACCCGGGAAAAAGTGTAGTTTTTCCCCCGACTGTGCTGGATACACCACCCTTTTACTGCACTTCCTCAAGCCAGCTTTTTTTCCTGTTTCCAGAACAGATTCTTGTTTTGCACAGCTGGCCATATAATCACAATACATCTTTCTTTCTAGACCATGGGGATTTGATCCTTCTTCTCTTTCTCTCCTTTTTCTCTTTCTCTCTTCATCAAAATAGCCCCCTCTTGAGCTCACGGGGATGGAACGCAAGAGAAGTAGATTCTCCCTGCCGAGGTTGGAAGCAGAACACTTTAGCGTTAGAGAGATGCCACGCAGTCTTAGCCTGCGGCATAGACCAAAAAAAGAAATAGATTGAAACTCCACTGCTTTTGTCATTCCAGAAGTGGATGAGTGCTCACGACCAAACAACGGCGGATGCGAGCAGCGTTGTGTGAATACCCTGGGTAGCTACAAGTGTGCCTGTGAACCTGGCTATGAGTTGGCTCCCGACAAACGCAAGTGTGAAGGTGAGCATCTTAGAAAGCATCTCTCTGGTTCCAAGAATGTATATATCCTGTTCCCCTGAAAATAACACCTATCCCAAAAATAAGCCCTAGCATGTTTTATACCTGTGCGCCTAATAAAAGCCATACCCAGGGGTAGGATTCAGCCAGTTTGAACTGGTTTGGGTGAACCGGGAGTTCCGGGGATCAGTTGGCCCCAGCCACCCACCCTTGCTTTATTCCGTCCTATATTTCCTTTGTTTGAAGCCCAGCTGATCGGTGCGGCAGAACGGATAGTCCCATCTCAGCTGTTTTATTCATCGGGGCTGCTGGAAAAGGAATGATTTAGTGCTGATTTTCAAATGCAATGTGCGTACACACAGCTAACCGTAAAGCACACACGAAGCGAACCGATTGTTATACCAGTTGAATCCCACCACTGGCCATACTCCCAAAATAAGCCCTACTTAAGAGTCTGCGCACTCCACCGACTTTACATTCTGTCTGTCTGCTCACGGTGCCACGGCCATGGGGTGAGGCAGGATTGTGGTGGAGCTGCAAAAAGAAAGAAATCAGACATGACTCAGTGGAAATGGTGATCTTAATTCTGGTCATAAGTTGTGGGTTATGTGTACATCTATTTGGGACATCAAATTCAGCCCAGAACAGCTGATAATACAATTAAAGCTCGGGAGAATATGAGATAAACCATTATGAATCTAAAAACTAACAGAATAGTGTATCAACTTGCCTTAGCCTCAAATATCAATCCTGGCTATGTTGGTAAAAACTTTTATCTCTTATTAGAATAGTTTATAAGTTAAGTTATATCAGTATAGTCTGATCTAACCTACAGGGTTAGAATTAGGGATGGATAGGTAGGTAGTAGGTAGGTAGATAGATGGATGGATGGATGGATGGATGGATGGATGGATGGATGGATGGATGGATACAAATATAGATGGATAGATACAGATGAATAATACAGATAAATATCATGGATGGATGGATGGATGGATGGATGGATGGATGGATGGATGGATGGATGAATGGACGGACGGACGGACGGACTGACAGACAAATATACACATAGATGCCAAGAGACAGATACACACATATATTTACATACACATACCTACCTGCAGGGGTGGGCTGCTACAGGTTCGCCCAGGTTCGGGAGAACCTGTAGCTAATGTTATGGCTGGTTTGGGGAACCTCCAAATCCCACCTCTGGCTGGCCCCTCCCACCCCACCCCACACCTCCCAGGAGTCTCCACGTGGACTGTTTCGGATGAGAGGTAAGTGCACAGCCTTTGCAGAGGCTTGGGGAGGAGGAAAACGTCCTTCCTGGAAGCGCCGGAGCCCGGGGGAGGAAGTTATTGCCCTCCCAGAGGCTCATAGAAAGCTTCCGGAGCCTGGGGCAGGTTAAAACGCCCACTCCCTGCCATGGTGCAGGTGACCACCATGGCCACGCCCACCCAGCAACTGGGCAGAGAACCCATTGCTGAAATTCTTTTGTATATACATATATACTTTGATACTTATATATCAAACAGACAAAAACCTGCGAACTAAAAGTATAGGGAAAGAAGAAGAAAGCTAATTCCTTTTAAGATGGGGCAGCACAATAAAACTTGATTTATACCCCAGGTTTCCTGATTGGGGATGATAATTGAGCAATATTTGCCACCTTTTAAAAACATTTCTGAGGATTCATTAGCTAATGAAAAGGATGCATTTCTTTCCCAACACAATTGGAGTGATTAACAAGGAAGCGTGTGAATCGATTCAGAGCATTGTGTTATGGTACAATGGATAACACAGCAGAATGGAGAAGTGTGATTCGGTTATACCCACCACACAAAGACAGACTCAGCCCTAGAAGGGAAGGTTCGTGAAACCTGGTGTTGAGCATTGACAAACCTTTTCAGAGACAGCATTAGGCAGACTGAGGCCAGTTTAAAAAATAATGGGCTTTGTAGTATAGCAGTGTGAATTCAGTGCCATAAAGGAAGATGGCAACGTGATCTAGAAAGATATTTACGTTGACCTTCTAATAAAGAACCTGTTTTAGAGTAAAATCTGAAAACTGGCATCACCTGATTTCAAAGCTCAGCCTCCTGAAAAAGCTCACCAAACTCCACTGAATATGAAAAGGAACCTCTAGAGCAGTGTTTCTCAACCTTGGCAAATTGAAGATGTTTGGACTTCAACTCCCAGAATTCCCCAGCCAGCGAATGCTGGCTGGGGAATTCTGGGAGTTGAAGTCCAGACATCTTCAAATTGCCAAGGTTGAGAAACACAGCTCTAGAACAAGGGTCTCCAACCTTGGCAACTTTAAGACTTGTGAACTTCAAGTCCCAGAATTCTTCAGCCAGCAAACAAAGAATTGTTCTAGAATGGAAATGTTGTGACCCACCAGCGGCCAGCGGAGCTGGTGGCAGACTCGGACAGTGAGGAGGTTGGGGAGGAAGATGGGCCAGTCCTGGAGTCTGGAGAAGGCTCTGATGGGTGCTCTGTGTCGGAGGCAGAGATGGGGCCAGAGCCGTCCAACAGTTATCAGCTGTCTTCGGACTCGGACATCAGTGGGGCAGAAG